GGCGGGGACGACGCTGCACATGTTGACTCAAGCAGTAGGTGGGTGGTGGTACGCGTGCCATCCGAGATCTGCCACAGAAAGCGTTGCAGTACGACATACGTGTCCACGGGAAATGCGCTGACCCAGGAAACAGAAACCGCTGCACAACACAAGTGGCGACCTACTAGCACTTGGCGAGCACGTCCTTGCGGTAGGGCGCGATCTGCTCGCTTGCGATGATCTTGCCCCCGATGTAGGCCTGGATGGGGACCTTGAACATCTGCCGCGGAATGAGCTCCTTCAGCTTCAGGCACAGGGCCTGAGTAAGGGGCGAGTAAGGGGTAAATCAGTGTGGGGTGAGTGGGTGGGCTGTGAGTGCGCAAAGGGGAAGGTGCCAGGGAGGGAGGTGGAGGGTGCTTGCATGAACACGCGTCCGCGAGCCAACTTTGCGTGGCGGGCGTCTGTGGGCTGAAGAGCATGCAGCGCGCCGGCGGACGGTAAGACATGCGTCACACATGTGCGTGCCCATCCGCAGGCGCTTGCGATTCACGCACACGCGCGCGCGCGCGCACACACACACACACACACACACACACACACACACACACACACACACACACACACACAAGCACGCGAGAGCGCGCGCGTGCCCTCGTACCTTGCCGGTCCTGTATGCCGAATCCTTGTGCACAATGACCGACAGAGGCTCCGCCGGCTCCCCATTGATCTTCAACTGCAATAGGTTCAGGTGGTAGTGAGTGTAACGACAGGGTTAGTTCAGTCTGGTGATGAGCCAGGCAAGTATGTGTCGCCCACCGTGCGTGCGATGCGACGCCGTGGCTGCTGGGCCACCGCTGAGCGTTTGCAGTGCCCGCGAACGCAACCTCGTCTCACAGACCGGCAAGCCGTGCGCCGGGCGGGGGCAGGTTTAGCAGCACGGGGGGGGGTGGGGTGGGGTGTGGTTACCTAATGCCCGGCATGAGATGCTTCGGGTGCGGCCCTGGCGGTGCCAGGCGCCCCAGCAGGCCCCCCTCACCTCGAGCAGCACGAGGTCACTCTTCTGGTAGCCGGTCAGCTGGTGGTCAAAGTTGCGGGCGTGAACGGGGGCAGGCGAGACATGTTGGGTGCGAACGGAAAAAGCTTGGAACGGAGGTGGCAACAAACACAGATACAGGAGGACAACTTGGTCAGGTGTGCTGGGGGCCATCTGAGCGTGCTCTCATTCCTGTATAAAAATCAGAGGAAATCAACAACACCGCGACCTTCACAGGCACCCCTTCAGAAGACCCCGCACCCAAACCCCATCTGCTGTTTTGTTGACCGACCTTGTACTCCATGGACGCATAGCCCTTTGACCGGCTCTTGAGCTGGTCAAAGTAGTCGGTCACCACCTCGGCCAGGGGGATGTTGAACACCAGGGTCGTGCGGCTGTCTGCGGGGCGGGGTGATGTGTGCGCACACAAAGGACGGTAGGGTGGGGTTTTGGGTACACGAGATTGAAAAGAGTACGTTTGAGCGGGGAGTGGTGTGGGTGTATGTTGGAAATCCCAGACATGAGCTAGGGCCTTAGGCTGCGTCCCCACGGCAGCCCTGCCGGCCAAACTTCAAGCAAACTCAGGTCAACATCAAGTCAATCTCCGGTCAAACCCCGGTCAAACTCAGGTCAAACGCGGCGCGCACCCGTGAGGTACTTCATCTCCACGAACTCGCCCCTCCGCCCCGTGGCCAGGTCCATGAGGGGCCCCACAAACTCCTTGGGGGTGACCATCTCCAGGCGGCAGAAGGGCTCGCTGATGCCGGTGCGCTTGGTGGCCTCGGGGAGGTCACCTGGGGGTGGGGGGAGCGGCGTGTGCGTGTGCGTGTGATGTGTGTGTGTGTGCGTGTTGGGGGGCCAGGGTCAGCACAAAGTGTGTGTGTGTGTGCGTGTGCATGTGTGTGTGTGTGTGTGTGCGCGCGTGCGTGTGTGTTGGGGAACGGGGTCAGCAAAAAGTGTGTGTGCGTGCGTGTCTGTGTGCAAGCCAACGACAGCCGCTCAGCCCCAAGCCTGAACCGAGCATCTGCGCTGCAAACCAAGTCCAAACCCGGCCGTCAGCAGCCCAGCTGCCGGGTCAAACGCCCGGCCCGGCGGGCCCACCTGGCGAGTTGACGACCTTCTCCGTGCCGTCGGTGCAGTGGGCGCGGTAGACCACGGTGGGCGCGGTGGTGACCAGGTCAAGATCGTACTCGCGCTCGAGCCGCTCCTGCGGGCGGCGGGGCGGCGGCGGGGCGGGGGGATGCTGATGGGGAGACCCCGACGCACGCAGGGCGTGCGGCCGCTAGACAAGCCTTGTGCTTCACGGCGGGCGGAAGCTGGGGGGATTCCGGGTTGGCCAAGAGTCAAGCAGACACCAGCAGGCGGGAGGGAGCCTCTAGCGCGGGGCGATCAGCCCAGCTTCTACACACGGTGCGCCTTCGCGGCCCGGGCCACCCGCGCTTAGCTCTCCCTCGCGCCCGATCACGGCCGTCGCCTGTCGGGCACGCCGCGTCGGCCCCAGAAGCTGCCGCGCAGCTGCCCACCTGCACGATCTCCATGTGCAGCAGCCCCAGGAAGCCGCATCTGAAGCCGAAGCCCATGGCGTTGTTGACCTCGGGCTCGTACCGCAGAGCGGCGTCGTTAAGCTGCAGCTTGCCCAGGGCCTCACGCATGTCCTGGGG